AAATGATTTTTAACCTCGGCACTACGTTTCGGATGCACGAGGAGACTAAAGATGGAGGATCTCTCTGACGTCAAAGTGAAAATTGCTAGCGCCACCTGTTCCGTCGAAGTTGGTATTCGGCGAAACTGCCGGGTACTTACAGAATTGACTGACAGTGTCTTCGCGTTTGCCGGTATGCTGTTTATAAGTGTTTAAATGCGTCATTTACTTTTTATTAACAATACTAGCGACACTAATGTCTCAATTATGTAATATATTTAATGAGATATAGAAAATTAAGTTACATAATCTTTTAAGTTGAGATTCTAATGACAACTTAAGAACAAAAAGCAAAGAATCAAAAATCCTCTTAACTTAATAAACTCGAAAATTGTTTAAATCAAATCGGTAATTATTAATCATCAATGTTGACAGTTGTCGGGTCATAGTTAAAATAAATTCTAAAACAGTTAATATTTCGTATTTGAACAGTGTTTTGTTTAAATGTATGAAAGATTTTATAAAAAAAAAACACAAATCTTTTAACTGTTTCAATAAGAAGGTAGCAGAATTAAAACAAAAGTATGACTTACAATTTGTGTGGATAAATCTTAATAATAAATCCTAATTATCACTTTATTTGCATAACTAATAAGATCTAAACGTTTCTATCGCCAGAGGCAAACAGGATCTTTTGGTAGAGTATTTTTTATTACAAAGCAGTGAAATATTAAATCTCTCATACTGATGTCATTATTTACTATATATGACTAGTGTCATTTAGCAAGTGACAATTATAGTGATGAATGTCAGAGTCAACCCAAATGTCATGTGACTTATTTACTTTTTGAAAAGTCGAGCTTTTAACGAGGTTACCTTGACCTAGCTAAAATAACTGTAATGTAGCAGATCGAAACATTGCCAGGTGGCGAAAAAATTGTATTGTGATATGGAGCTTTTTTTATGACAGCGGAGGAGAGGAGAGAGCATACATGAGTTTTACTTGATAAACGGTTGAATACCCCAACCATATAACATCTAAACAAAATGCTCTTTCGATCATTGCTTTGTCTGTACAGACGGGGGTTCGTGATCCTGATGGAATTTTGATATTCCTATCACCGATTGAATATCTAGATTTCAAGACGGAGTCATCAACATGCTTCAAAAATAAGAAATAATATTGGACCCGGTGAGGATTGAACCTATTTATTTTTAGTAATGCAATTAAATGCTTTAGAATTTAGATCAAGGTCGATCTAAAGGATCTTAGGATCGAAGTTCTTTTATTGGGTGAATTGGACGTTGAAATACCTAGCAAGAATTGGGTAAATAGTTGAGGAATAGTTTTATTATAAAACGAACATGTTCTCGTTTGACATCTTTAATTGCGCGAAAGGTTGAGGATTTGGTAGCTCCATTGGTTAGAGCAAGAGCACGGAACGCTGACCATGCTCGGTTTAAGTCCTGCTCGAGTCATATGTTGTATGTTTATTCGCCTCTCAGTCAGCACGAAAATGTGTAAAATAACTTTTTTCTTAATTAATTACCCGTATTAATCATATTTATTATACAAAAATAAAAGTTTCTTTTGCCGTAGATTAGCAAAATAAAACTTATTTGCAAAGCGACAGTCAAATATTTTGTTTATCACGCGAAACATAACTGTGCTGTGTGAGCTGTGCTCAACACAAAAACATTTTTTCAATTCGATTCATTAGATCTTTCAGATCAGAAGACTTCATTCTGAGTATATCGCGGTCAAACAAACTCTTCAGCTCTTTAATATTAGTGTAGTCTTATTAACTACGACCCGACATCAACGTCGGTCGTACCATTTTAAATTGTGTTGTGTGTCCTATTTAATCTGTACTACTCTTATACCAACACTTTGCAATAAAGCTACATTTCACCTTACTAATCCTAGATTATTAAAACGATTACATAACAGTTTGTACAAATCAAGCAATAAGGAAATAATTCATCCCGCCTCTGTGGTTTTAAATGTGCAAATGTTTTCATTAGTCGCGTTTGCTTACAAGAAATCGAATTACGTACTCTAATGACAGACATTTTTGTTATTAAAATCGACTTTAGATTGATAAAAATTAATTGAATTAACCGGCCTCTTTTAAGAGCCTACGTTGAAAACTCTTTAGCGGTTTTCTCTTTCTTTAGTATTCACTGAAGAGAGAGAATCCGAGTCCAAGTGGAATAGTTATTTTGCGCCTCAAACTTCGTTTTTGCAAACCTCCTCATCCTTATAAATTATAGCCCGTGCCGTATCATTCTACTTCTCATCGTTCTTGCAAGTTCCTCTTAAAAATAGATATTTACTTTAAGACTTTTTATTATTCATTTAAAGAGTTATCATTTTTAATACATATTTATTGGGTATTTGAACTATTTTCGGAGCGCACGCAACGGTAACCCCAGATGAACAATTTTCCCCTTTCTTCAACATTTCCCACTGTATCTTTGCTCCTATTAGTAGCATCGTGTGTTCAGTAGAATATTTTATGGCCTAAGGCCTTCCTCAATAAATGGTATAACCGACACAAAAAGATTTTTAAAATTTGAACCAATAGTTCCTGAGATTAGCGTGTTTGAACAAACAAACTCTTCCGCTTTATATATTAGTATAGATACACAGATTGACGGCTTACCGTTCTCTTCGAGCCACGGGCTCTTGATACATCCTTGATGGGGTCACCAGCTGTGAAGGTTGCTCGTAGCCACGCTGGTTCATAAATTGTGCCATTTATTCAGATGGGCGAAAGCACATAACGAAGATGAAGTAGACACAGGAGCAAGATAGTAAAAATTCATTTTCCAAAAATTGTTATGATCCTAGAAATTTTTCTGGGAAAATTCTCGATACTCTAATTTAGTTTTAAGCGGATTTCGAATCCTGGAACTAGTAGACTGTATTCGATTGTACTTACCACAAGACCAACGACGCAGTTATACATTATATCCAGATATATCAGACACACTTATACCAATATTAACCTCAGGTGTTATAATAACAATCGATAGGTATACCAATTGTTAATGATAACGTGAAGGACTGAAAATCAGCGCTAACTGAGTCCGATGCCTTCTAGTACAAAGATTAAATTCATACCTTTCATTCGTTTCATTGTAAGTTTTTTGTTATTGTACGTTATGCACATGACTATTTATTTTTAAAAGTACATGCATTTTATATGATTCTGTAATAGTTGAAACAAAAATGGCGCATCTTTTGAATGTTAACTATTTCTTCCGAAAGCAATACAATAATAAACCGTATTAAAATCCAGTCCTATTCGTTACCTTTACATGGTCTTATATCTGTAAGAACGCTTAATTGCCGCGCCCTGACCTCTCTGGATAATTCAAGTTTTTCATTATAATACTTGTATGTCAAAACATTATATCCACGGCCGGTTATTATGGGAAATGTATTGTTTCTTAAATGCATTGACTATTATAAAATACGATTTCAAACTAACATAGATAATATTTGAAAACTACAATATTTTTCACATGCTGGCCCTATATAAGTTTAAAAATCGATTATTAATTTTATTGGTTACTCGAGTAGTACGCGAGTATATATAAACAGTTATAATGTTTAAATAAAACACTTTAACGGTTTAAAACGCGATATATTAGTTAAACTTATTTGAAAATTGATTTTTAACTTCGGCCCGACGTTTCGGATGCTTTGCAGCAGTCGTGGTCACGGGGAGACTGTTTTAAACCGTTAAAATGTTTTATTTAAATGTGTACTACTCGCGTAAACTATAGACAGTATTTAAACTATATATATACAATAACAATTCATAACATATAAACTAATTGAAAATTAAGCAGAATACAAATTATTACTAGACAAAAATATAAAATACAGACAATACTAAAACAAATTAAAAAAATATTAATCTGTGGTACAATACTGAATCTGTGATGTATGGAATGAATATAAACATTCGTACATTTCGGGTTTAATATCGTGGTTATTAATTTCGAAGCCGACACAATTGATTGTTATAGTTGAAAACAAAAGGAAAATTGACAGTTCATCTTCCTTATACAGCGTTGCGATGGAAATTTGTCTGAATAAATCAGTAAACGTGTCATTTGTGTTGGGTTGAATGCATTTTTCGGTCGTTAAAAGATATGGATGAAGTGACCTTTCAATGATAAACCGAACTGGGCAGCTACAGGTTAATTTTCGATCGAATTATTGTGGGAACAACGTAGACTTGATACTTTGTGCGTCGCGTGTTTTAGACAGACGGTTTTAGAAACCGGTACTCATGAGGTTCTAAAAAGTCTCCTCATTTAATTAGCAGAAAGACCGAGAACTAAGAGACAAAGAAGATAAACAGTGTAAAGATTTAATATGTTCTAGATATTCCTATATCCTTAATAATTAGCAAAACAAAGTTTTTCAAGAATCTATATATACTAATATATAAAGCTGATGAGTTTGTTTCTTTGTTTGAACGCGCTAATCCCAGGAACTACGTCGAATTGAAAAATTTTTTTTGTCTTGGTTAGACTAATACAAGAGTCAAAGCGAGAAATGTGAAAAAAAAAACGGTTCTAGATACCCAAAAAATATGTATCAAGGAACGATTTCTTTTTAAATGATCTAAAAAAAGTCCGCGACGCTATATGTCTATCTTTTAACATTAACTTTCAAGACCGACGGAAAGGGACGCGATCGACGTCGTGGGTCACAACATAAATAGCTATTCTACGCGGACGAAGTCGCTGCCACAGCTAGTAACAGTATAAGATTCAATATTTCATATATAAAAATGGAGTTATTACATTTCCATTATATATCGCATTTTACTAATAATTTATTAAGTTTAAATTGTTACTAACCCATCTAAAAGTCATATTACATTTAAAACTATATACATTGGTTTAATGAATAAATATTTTTTATTTTTATTATATTAAAGTGTATTCCTTATGGGTTGTCTATATATTATTAAGAGTTCTGATAGAATCTCATCAAGATGATAATTACTTCTAGAATGAATGTCAGTCAATCAAAAAGTCTGTGAATTGCTATCAATCCGTTCGTCATTAATCCGGCTCTAGCGCGGGACAATCGCCTTTGCAACACTATTTTTACTCTAATCTTGGACGCATGCCATAACCGTGCCCTCGTATCACTACACTCGATTTAACCTCAGCCGGGAAACGTAACATTTTAAACTAAATAACTTTCGTAAAGTAGTTAATTTTTTTATCTCCATAGTACTTTTCGGTATTATCAATGAAGCATCCGCTCTTGGACGTTCAAAATTACTAGTGATGAAAATAGACGGCGCGGTTCTTACGCGCGATATATTTCAGTTTCATATATAATGGCGGCGTGAGCGTCGCTCGCTCCGGCCATGCTACGATACAAATGGACGATAGCTCTAATCTCTAATCACGATTTTCGTCCCCATCCTAGTGACTGTTAGTGCTTTCCGCGTCCGATTAGCCCATGAAAGAGCCTCCGGGAAACACAGTGAGTCATGCGACAGTAATGAACTTAACCTTGACCAGAAACAAAGCAAATTGAGCAGCAAACGTGCGTACGATGGATTGAAGAAAATAGTGCAAGAGAAACTCAAAGACGATGGCAAATTAAATGCTGACGATCTTATTTATTTACACGGATTATCGGATAAAAAGTTTAATGCAAAGACTAAAATTAAGATAGATGACAATATTTTAGAGAAACATGAGAAGGTGAAACAAATTCCAAGTAAAATTGAGAACACTGTTTTAAAATTTACAACGTCTGCAGTTACAAAGTCTGCAATCATTCAAAAAACAAAAGACGACGATAGTGATGATGATGACGACGACGAAGATATTCCTAGTGACAAAGACACCGAATTCGAAGAAAACGGTTTAGATGATGTTGATATACAAGATGAAAACGGTGATAGTGACAACAAAAGTGAAGATGACAACAATGAAGAGGAAGAACGAGATAGCAAAAAGAATGATAGTGACGAAGAAAGTGATGAAAATGAAGAAGAAATAGTAATAGAAATAAAAGCAGTACCAAAGACTGGAAAAGCATCTACTCCAATCAGCATACAGAAATTCAATAAAGAAGAAAATAAAGATGATCCAATCCCTCAGAAAGTGACTCTTAAAACTAAAGTAGAAAATAAAGACCCAGTTAAAGACCTTAAATCCAGCACACCCATAAAACGCCCAAACGATATGAAAGATAAAAAGGCAGAAAAAATTGAAGATGACATACAAAAACAAGAAGCAAAAACTACCCCAAAAATTGATAAACCAACGGATGTTCTTGAAAAAATTAAAGTGAAATCACATATAGAAGCAGGAAAATTACAGAGTCACTTAATTTCAAAGGACCAAGAGAAAATCTTACCGCCGAAAGACGAAATTAAAATCGAGAAGACATTAAAAAAAGATTCAGAAAGCTTACAAGCATCGAAAGATTCTAAGGTAAAAGGTAAAAAAAGTGATAAAATAAAACAGTTACCTGATGCATCGCACACGAAAATTTTACTACAAAGCGAGTTCGAGGATTTTTATGGATTTTTTCCAACGTTTGCACCGAATTTTTCACGCGTACATAATCCGGAGTGTCGCCGACACGGACAAATATTGCTGAGGCAGTTACGTGGGACAAAACTGTGGGCTCTAAATAGTAAGTACGATAGTTTTCCCACTTGTTTTTGCATAACAGACAAATAGAACCTGATCGTACAAACACATTAAAATTTTAAATCGAATACTTACATTAATTTATTGTATGATTTTATTTGTTTTTTCTACGTGTTAAATTTTTGTGTTAAATTCACTGTTCACGTCTTCCAAACAAGTTTTAGCTTTTCCTCGAGCAAGACAACTAGTGGCTAACATGAGGGAATGTTTATTACGACTGAAAAAATTTTGTTTAAATAGGTATATGTATAAGGTACCATACGTATTTTAAGCGTGTTATAGCGGCCATGAATATTTGAGTTTATTTAACCAGTACACAATAGTTACACTAAAGCTGCTTAAATGTTTACAGTGCTCGATTCGACGGCAAAAATTCCTTCGGGACTCCTACAAGGTAATGGAATACAACTTGGTGACTTTGACCAGTGCTTGGCCAGCCGTGCCCGTGTTCAGCTCGAGACCGGCAGCATTGTTAAAGTTCAGGGGAAATACTGCTTGGCAACAATGGATGTGAAGGCGGAGACTCCAGACTTGGAGGTGGCGGTGGATTTTCTTCAGGGCAGGAATTTAATCAAGGGAAGAGTTAGTGATGTGAGTATAACGTTAATTGTAGTTTATTTCATATTCATTTACTTAATTATGTTTGGTACATGACAACCATCATTTGAAAAATATTAAGTGCTGTTTACGCGACTATTTACAAAACAAACTTATAACGGTTTTAAACACGTAGGCCGTCGTTATGATAAATAGAAAATAAGATAATTACTATATTTTAAAAAGTTAAATATGTTTCATTTGAAAGTACTTTACTTTTTATTTTAACAAATTAAATATATTATTTTGTTACTTAAGATATTATCTTTGAGTCAAATTAAAAATCTTAGATTGAATTTTAATACTCGGGCAGGACTAGAACTGACATCCACAGCGTTCCGTGCTGTTGTTTTCACCAATTGAGCTACCGTGTCCTAGAAGTCATCATCGAATTTTTCCAACCTATCATATTATTTAAGTTGACAACACATTGATATGATATAAGGCTAATTGTAATACCCTTAATATCTTGTTCAGCCAGGTCACTTCGTACCAAGATTCTCAACGCTGAGTTGGGGTGTCTGCGTACCATCGCCATGTAGTCCTAAAGATGTTGAGGTCATCATCACAGAGGCAACAAAGCAATATCAGCGGATTGGAGTGACCTTGAACGTTGAGGTGGATGAACTGGATTGCCACGTGCAGCAGAAAGGGAGCTGGTGGGAAGGTTGGATGGAAATACCGACGCTTTTAACTTTGTGAGTAAATTATACATGTAAAGTGTAACGTAGAGACGTCTGTTGAACTGATTCAAAAAAGACTAATTGCTTTATTCGCCACAGTCTTAATAACACGTAGATATATGAGTGTAGGAATGGAGCAGATTCGCTTTCAGTCCAAATGTCAAGATAGGCCGACAGCGCAACTCAATTAAATGTTGAAGATCGGGTATCTAATTCATTTCAAACTTCCTCCTCATCTTAATAAATAATAGCTGTCACTCGTATCCACGACGTCGTCCGCGTTCCGTCATTCTTGTAAGTTAATCGTAAAAGATATACATATACTGTCGCATATCATTTTAAAAGTAATCATTCTTTCATACATATTTTGTGGGTATTTTGACCCGTTTTCTAAAAAGAAATAATGTTTCCCTTGTTTCCACGACTCCCACTGTTTGTTCGCTCCCATTGGTCGAAGCGTGATGTTTTATAGCCTCCCTCGACAAATTATCTAACCAAAACAAAAGTAATTTTTCAATTCCACCCAGTAGTTCTTGAGATTAACGAGTTCAAACAGATAAACAAAACAGCTTGAAAATATTAGTATACATTTAAATAAAACACTTCGGTTTAAAACGCGTTATATTAGTTAAACTTATTTGAAAATGATTACTTATTTAATATGGCGTTTTAAACCGTTAAAGTGTTTTATTTAAATGTATTCTACTCGCGTAAACTATAGACAGTATTTAAGATTAGTATAGATATTCTTGCAGGGTTTTAGTTAAAAGCGTATAATATTGTAATTATTATTGATTAAAGTTTGTCAATCAGTTTAAAACAAACTAGAGAAATCAATATATTAATAATCAAAAAGTTATGGTGATTGTGTTTTACCCGGTAAATTAAACTAAAGATAATATTGAAAAATATATACCCGGATGTTTTAAAGAAACATTTGAATGTTGGTACATAAGTTTACACACTCGCAGTATTTATTTGCAGATTGTAAATGTTGATGTATCCGCCGAGTTATAATTAGCGTCTTACATCAATCATGGTTTAAACTGTATACAAATTACAAACATTTTGACGTTAAATAATAATGCTTTGGGATAATGAATCACATATTATAAGTTTGGGATACAAGTTAAGGAAGACAGAGGAGCAGGTGGTTCAGTTCGTGGTTCGTGACCCCGTCGGAATTGCGATATTCTTACCACCAATTCAATAACCAAATTTCCGAAGGAAGTCCATGTTTCAGAAAAATTCTAAACTATCTGGTGTTCATCGACCCCACGACCCGTTTATTGTAAGCCATATATTGCCATTCGACCAACGACCCCTTTCAGGTCTCATTCACTTTTAACTGTTTAAAACGTGAAGTATATTAATTAACTTATTTGCAGATCGTTCTACGCTGCCATTTTGTGTCTAGTGTTAATAGCGACTTGTCAAGATTTACTAGCTGAAAATAGAGGTTCTGTTGAAGAATGTAGTCCTGATGAAAAACAGGATACAAACGGGTCCAAACCGCGTTCAGGTAATTTTCTTTCTTTTTTTCGCAAAGCCTATACTAACTGTAATTTAGATGATAATCTATAGTTTACGCGAGTAGTACACATTTAAATAAAACACTTTAACGGTTTAAAACGCGATATATTAGTTAAACTTATTATTATTAATAATATATCGCGTTTTAAACCGTTAAAGTGTTTTATTTAAATTTAGATTAATCTTTCGTGGGCCGTTCTAACAAATAGAAAAGAAAATATAAATAAAAAGAAAGTTGTGTTTGTCTTAAATTTGTTTATTCTATACCTAGATATACATAAGCATTTAGTTATATAAACGATTACTTTATATTTTGTATGATTGTAAAGTAAGTATTCCCAGCTTAATAGTTAATAAATATGTTTTACCGATAAATTATTACGGTCGCGCAGGGCACAGCAGTTTGCTGTTTCATCTACCTGTGTCAGTAAAACGGTTGATCTGTAAAACGGATACAGAAATGTGTTCGCCAGAGGGTACAATAGAATTTCAGTATAATATTGTCTATTTATAATTCTGTATACATTATAATATATATAGCTATATATATATAGCTGTATCGGCAACTTCGTCCGCGTGGAATAGTTATTTTGGACATCAAAATTTATTTTTGCAAACCTCCTTCACATTTTTATAAATTATAGCAGTACGCAACGGAAACCCACAAGAATGAAAATTGTTTTCCTGTTTTCTTCATATTTCCCACTGTTTCTTCGCTTCTATTAGTCACAGCCTCCCTCGATAAATATTCTAACCAACCCAAAAATATTTTTTCAATTCGAACTGGTAGTTTCTGAGATTAGAGCGTTCAAACGAACTCACCAGCTGTTTATATTAGTATAGATTGGCACCTTTATAAAATGTATATATACAAGGGCAAGCATTGTCAATCATGTAAGTGTATGTACTAATTGATCATGACCATTTAACCAAAAGAGATCACCATTCTTCTGAATCAACCTTAACCCACTTGTAAGTGACAAAAGTTCAAATCGATTGTGATTCAAATACACTTAGAATGTTTTGTATGACTGATTTGCATAATGTATACAATCCCACTCATGTTGTAAGTGTAGGTCAGTGTAAATCTATCGGGTAATAGCAAATAAAAATAATAAGCAAAATAATGTCCCTGCGCGACCCGCAGCCGCCAAAACTCCGAAAAGGGGGGCCTTTATTTTAAAAAAAAAAAAATAAAAAAAAAAAAAAAATAAAAAATTTAAAAATAAAAAAGGGGTTTTTTTTAAAAAACCTTTTTTTTTTTTGGGGAAAAAAAAAAACCAAAAAAAATTAGGTGGGGTAAAAAAAAAAAAAAAAAAAAAACCCCCCCCAAAAAAAAATTTTTTTTTTGGGGTTAAAATAAAAAAAAAAAATATTTGTGTGTGGGGGGGCCTCCCTTAAAAAAAAAAAAAAAAAAAAAAAACCCCCCCCCCCCCCCCCCCCCCCCCCCCCCCCCCCCCCCACCCCCAAAAAAAAAAAAAAAAAAAAAAAAAATTTTTTTTTGGGGAAAGAAAAAAAAAAAAAAAAAAAAAAAAAAAAAAAAAAAAAAAAAAAAAAAAAAAAAAAAAAAAAAAAAAAAAAAAAAAAAAAAAAAAAAAAAAAAAAAAAAAAAAAAAAAAAAAAAAAAAAAAAAAAAAAAAGGGGGGGGAAAAAAAAAAAAAAAAAAAAAAAAAAAAAAAAAAAAAAAAAAAAAAAAAAAAAAAAAAAAATAAAAAAAAAAAAATATTTTCCCGGCCCCCGGGCCCCCGCCGCCCCCCCCCCCCCCCCCCGCGGGGAAAAATAAAATAAATAAAAAAAAAAAAACAACAACCACCCCCCCCCCCCTCAACACCACACAAAATAAAATAAAAAAAAAAAAAAAAAAAAAAAAAAAAAAAAAAAAAAAAAAAAACACCAAAAAAAAAAAAAAAAAAAAAAAAAAAAAAAAAAAAAAAAAAAAAAAAAAAAAAAAAAAAAAAAAAAAAAAAAAAAAAAAAAAAAAAAAAAAAAAAAATTTTTATATATTTTTTTTTTAATTTTTTTTTTTTTTTTTTTTTTAACCTAATTTTTTTTTTTTTTTTTTTTCCCCCCCCCTGTTAATACATTATGAGCAAATACGTCCCTGCTGGGAAATTCTTTTCATATGGCGTATATAGATAGTTCCTTTTCTGATCACAGGCAAATATATCTGGAGCTACAACGATCAAAACCGCAACACATTCAACGCATTTCTTACGAAGCGCTCGATTACGCTGCTTTGTATAAATCCTGCAAACATATAGTTACTGATGATTATTCTCATTTGGAAACAGTTCTCCTGAAATTAATGTCAAACTGTAAGACAACAAAAACAAAAATGCTAAATCCTCCAAAAAAAGACTGGATATCCAAAGACCTGATAACTTGTATCAATCAAAGAAATTTCCTGTATTCTAAGGTTAAACATGAACCTAAAAACCATTCTGTAAGACAAGACTTTCTAGATTGTAGAAAATTAGTATACAATAAAATTAAAACAGCTAAGAGAGACTATTACATAAATGAGTTTAATAAATGTAAGAAAAATCCTTTAAAAATGTGGAAACTTATAAATAATTTAACTCTAAATAAAACTGAAAATGTCCCCGTCCCACTAAAATTAAATACTCCATTTGGTATCGCTACAGATCCATTACAAATATCGGAATACTTTAATATATTTTTCTCAAACGTAGGTCATGATTTAGCAAACCAAATACCGTCAAAATACCACAAAACCATGAGCAAAAATATAGATACAAACTATTGTCTAACTGCTAATAAACCTATACTTTCTGAACTGATTGCTACTAACAAAGAAGAGGTAATGGAAATTATTAATAAGCTTTCTTCAAATACAAGTGCTGGAATAGACGGGGTAACTACTAAAGCTGTAAAATGTATTAAAGATTTAATATCAAACAATTTAGCAACGTGTATCAATAACAGTTTTTGTAGTGGGAACTTCCCGGATTCCTTGAAAGTGGCAAAAGTAAGCCCAATTTATAAAGCAGGTGATACAATGGAACCCGGCAATTACCGTCCGATTTCGGTTCTACCTATATTTTCTAAAATTTATGAAAAGGTTATTCACACTCGCCTCACAAAATTCTTAGATGATAACAATTTGATATTTTATAAACAATACGGCTTTCGTTCCAAATCTAGCACACTTACTGCTGCTGTTGACTTAGTTACTTCAATAAAACATAGCATAGATAGGAAAGAAATCACCCTTGGCATCTTTATTGATCTAAAAAAAGCGTTTGATACTGTTAGTCATTCAATACTACTCTCAAAGATTAAAAATATTGGAATATCAGGATCAGCTTTTGGAATCTTAGAATCTTATTTGTCAAACAGAACCCAAATTACTAAAATTAAAAACTCACAAAGCAAACCTCAGACAGTTACCTACGGTGTACCCCAGGGCTCCATATTGGGCCCCCTGTTGTTTTTAATATATATAAACGACATTCATAAAATTGGTTTATTAGGGAACATCACACTATACGCCGATGACACGAGTTTATTTTACTCCGGTAAATCCATAAAATCTATTGCTGCGATGGCCCAAAATGACCTAAATATCTTACATGACTGGTTTCAATCGAATTTACTCACTATTAATACAACAAAAACAAATTATATGATATTTGCAGCTAAAAACAAAATTATTGACACTTTCCCTCCCTTAACTATACAAAATAAAGAAATTAATAAAGTAACAAAAGAGAAGTATTTAGGCTTAATTATAGACAGTACACTTACCTGGAAATACCATATTCAACATCTAAGAAATAAACTAACTGCGCTCTCAGGCTTGTTTCGGAATTTAAGTATCAATTTACCAAAACCAATCAAGTATGTAATATACAATTCTCTAGTAAAGTCGCAACTAGAATACTTAATTGAAATCTGGGGAACAGCTGCTACATCAAATTTGAAACCAATCAAAACCCTTCAAAATAAAATCATTAAAAAAGTTTTCCGACTAAACTTTTGGAAGCCAACTCTTAAAGTATACAAAGAAACTGGATTACTTAATCTCACACAAATATATAAATATAATACATGTTTATTAATAAGAAAGTTGCTAAATAAAGAAGTGCACAGCGAGATAAAACTAGTGATAAATTATAGCATCAAAAAATGTATAACTAGACAAAGCGGCAATATCTACCTAAAAAGACCACGAACTAATTATGGCTTAAAAAATATAATGTATGAGGGAGCTCAAATTTATAACCATCTTCCAATGAATATTAAAGTTGCAAATTCATTTAGCATATTTAAAAATAAATTAAAAGCACACATTATAAAGGATTTTTCTAAACTATAGTAGTAATCATATTATAATAATAAACATAAGTAAACATTTTTTTTTTTTTGTTGTTAAATTAGATATATTTAATATTTTGTTTATGTGTAAAACTATAGCAATGTAGCACTACGCTATGCGATGTGCAAAACCTTTACAAGATACATTGGAGATAAGAAGCGAATGAGCCGTCCTATTAATAGAACTTGCGTAAAGTTTTGATATCCAACCCGCTTTTGTTATTTTTATTTTTGATATGATTTGACTTGTAATAAATTAGAATTAAGAATAGTTCATAATTTCTCTGTAAGTGATTTTGTAAATCTTAAGAGAAATAAACGTCTTAAACCATAAACCAAATAATGTCTCTTAAGTTTAACTGGCAAGGACGACGGGATGTGTACTAAATAATTTTATGATGCCAAATATAATTACCGGGAGAAAGGGGGGGGCCCCCCCCACCTTTAAAAAAAAAAAAAAAAAACCCCCCACCCAAAAAATTAACTCTCCCACTCATTTTTTCGGGGCCCCCCCCCCCCCCCCGGATTTCCCCCCCCCCCCCTCCCCCCCCCCAAAAAAACAACAAATTTTTTTTTTTTTTCCCCCCAAAAAAAAAATTCCCCCGCCCACCCCCCCTTTTTTTTAATAATTTTTTTTTTTTTTAAATTCCTTCCCTTTTTCCCCCCCCCATTTTTTTTTTGGGGGGGGGGGTGGGGGGGTTTTGGGTTTTTATAAAAAAACACACACAAACAAAAAAACCACTATTTATTTTATTATTAATTAAGGGGGTTTCAAACTTTAAGCCCCCGCCCCCCCCCCCCCCCCCCCCCCCCCCCCCCCGCCCCCCCCGAAAAATAAAAAAAAAAAAAAAATATTTTTTTTTTTTTTTTTTTTTTTTTTTTTTTTTTTTGCTGTCGGCGGGCCACCAGTATTCGACCGATTGGCCAAGATCTGTGCATCTTTGATGTAAATCGTCCGTTTTGGTGGTTTTAGAGGAACCCGCTGTAACAAGAAGAAAAAGTGTAAAGTGAAGTCTTCAAAGCTATTCAGACTAATTAGACGTAGATTTTTAATTTTCTTTCTTACTAAAAACTTAATATTTTTCAATATTAAGATATTCAAGTTTGTAACCTGGAAAGACCCACGACACATTCTTGCCCTAGTGTAGGGACTGGGGACTCTTTCTATCTGCACTATGCAAAGATTTTTTTCTAATAAGAAATGTTCTGTTACAGATGGTTTTATCAGCGCCTTCTCCCTAACTCGGACCCTGAAGAAGCTAGTGGCACCAGCTGGAGCTGACGAGATACCAAGTATTCATGGGCTCCGAGCTATAGCTACAATATTTCTCATTGCTGCTCACAAGTTCCTGCCAATTGCTCACATCCCTTATACAAATAGAATAAAATTGGCTGAGGTATGTTAAAATTTCTATTATTAATCGCCTTAGTATTTACGTATTAACTTATACTGGACTATTTATTATTAATTTAGTGCTCTAGCGCACAGAGATCAACACATCAGAGATAAAGATATAGACATTAAAAAACAACCAAAACTTATCGCTATAAGCGATTTCTTACAGCCAATTCAAAGATTGCAATGAAATATGCAAGATATTTTTATCTTCATCAACTTTAATACTTAAATAGAAAAAGCTAATTTATTATTTTAAGAAAAAGGAAAGTTCAATAATAACAAACTAAGAACGTTAGTGATAAATGATATAGACTATAGAAAATGTAACTATTTTTTTAACGGTTTAAAAGTAAAATAGTTAAGTTACATATTTTACTTACGGTTCGGCGTTTCGGATTCTTTGCAGCAGCCGTGGTCACGGGGGGACTAATGTAGGGTACTCCTTATGTCAAAGTCTAATCGGCTACGCTAGCGGCATTTGTCTAGTAGTGTCAATATTTTCGAATAATTGTACAAATATAGAAGATCCACATTAACTATTTCCAAAAAAATAACGGTCCCTGTTTTGAAAGGTATAGATAATTCATCATTGTGGAAAGTTGTCGTAACTCAATAGAGTTATTGAAGAAAAGCCAAAATATTTTATGATTCCTAAGATTTCGTTTCCACCCAGTAAAACCGCGAGTAAAACAACTTCCCCCAATCAGTCTGAGTGACGGATGATTTCTGAGCAATATGTCCATTGGCGCAGTTCCAAGTAAGTCAGTTAAGTGATTTGGCAGATGTGACACGATTATTGACAATATCGGAACTTGTTTATACAAGGCATTTGTTTACTTTCGTTTAATCAGGCTAATGAATTCACTTGATTTATGTCTATATAGCATACTTAACTTATATGCTTTGACGTGTTGGTGTCATGGTAGCAATGTGTGGCTAATTTCAACGGGTCGTTGGTACGATTACCGCCGGGTCCATCATATTTTTAATAAAGTTATAAATTTATTAAAACAACTTTAAATATGGAAAACAGATAAATAAGCCGTGAAGTTCAGTCGCGTTTCGGCTTCAGATATTTAATATGTTTTAAGAAAATAATAAACGAAATATGTCAGCTTTTTTCTCTTCAATTTATTCAGAGTCGTCAATAAATTCCTTACTTATCGCTTCTGTAAAGAACATTGAGCAAAGTCTAAACTTTGAACAATTGCTAATAGATTCTGATAAGGCGTATAATATTCGATATTATTGGAAACCTTTTCTTGGTAGAAACAGAATACCAGTTTCAAATTTGTTATCAAAGTGTGTTAATGAAAATTAAGTTAGTGAAGTTTCTCGTCTGGTAAGACTTTAAAGTGTCTAGTCTTTGAGGAAAAATGAGTTAAACTATGAACAGTAATTATATTAGTAAGTTCTGTTTATAAGCAGGCGGCAGCTTTGACGGACTTGTTGGTTCAGTGGTGTTAATTTATAACTGGGTCGTCAGTTCGTCTAGGATGGTTTTAAATCGAATTAATGAAATAAACAACATAAAATAAAGAATCGGATGCTTTATAGCAGTCGTGGTCCTAGGGGACTGATAAAGGGTATACCTTATGTCAAAGTCAGATCTGCTACGCTAGCGCCATCTGTTTCCTGGTAGTTGGTATTTGGAGAAACTAGCTTGAAACATTGGGCCGTAGTTCATGAAAATTGTAAAGTTAACTAATACATTTTGCATTTTAAAACATTAAAAGTGTTTTATTTAAGTGTGTAGTACTCGCATAAAATAAAGATAGTATTTTATATATGACGATAAATGAATTTTGATTGGTTATGACTTCAGGTCGTCTCGTCACCAATCTGGTCATGGTGCAGAGTTGGTTGGGTGATGACTGACTGTTTTCTCTTACTCAGTGGAACCCTCACTGCCTACCGAACTTCAGATAAAACCAGTGCGTTTAACAAACTAGCTTCAAGATATTTGAGGTAAGAAAAAGCAATTGTAGATTTAAAGTTTAATATTTTTAGAGTAGTGAGAGTTGTAGAGAATTGTTTGGTGATATAAATATTTGTTTAATTCTTTGTTTTTTGGATAATTTAATTTTTATCGCATTTTCTCGTTTTCTTGGAATTTTTACCTATTTACAATTTATTAAACAATATAATCCAAAAGTTATTATATTATTATACTATTTTATAAGCTATTATTAAGTGTTTGTTCATTATTTACTTAGTTAAAATTTAAAACGGTTTTTTCAGATTGACCCCAGCTCTTTTAGCAGTTATCTGGTTTTATGCCTACATTTGGGACAATATTTCATTTGGACCAAGATGGGGTGGTCTTGTTACGAAAAACGCGGAGATCTGCCGTGAAGGATGGTGGTGGAATATGTTTTACTTACAGAACTATTTTGGATTGGAAAATATGGTTTGTAATCTCAATTCCTTCCTTTCCATCGTCTATATTAAATAAATGACGATATAATTTAAACAGAAGAGTTTTTAATTTGTCTGCTCTACATTATTTATAATCTTATACTACATTTACTAATAAATAAAACATTTTAACGGTTTAAAACGCGATATATATAAGAGTTTTATTTAAATTTTTACTACTCACATAAACTACAGACAAACAAGTACATTTACTTAAAAAATTAAAAAAAAAAACAAATTCAGTGAGTTTTCTTAAATTTACTTTTTTTTATCCTACACTAAATAAATAACTGTATTGTATATATATATTTTCTTATTTAATGAATTTTAACCATTTTAATGTTACCAACTAAACATACGAGAGTATTTAAATTGTTAATATTTTTTTAAGTTTTATAATAAAGACGGGATTTGAACTTATGACTTCGTTCTATATCGTTGTATAAACTGTCTTTTGCTAGAGATAGTATTGTAGGAGATTTTTTTCAATGTAAAATATACTTTCAGCTTTAAAGTTTAATACATGTCTACATCGCAGGCATAAAATGCCACGTAAAAAATGTCAAAATTTTAAATCTAACATCGATTTCAGTGTGCACCACAAACCCATCAGCTGGCGTTAGACATGCAGCTAACGATCGTTGGAAGCTTCTTAGTCTGGGCCATACAAGCTGATGTCGTGGGTTCAAGACTTGCGATGCCATTAATTCACCTCTACGCAGCTTATTCTCGTTATGCGACCTTCAGGGATCATAGACTTACTATGATTGCGTATCATGGTGTTAGGTAAGCGAAAACTATCAACCTTTTTAAGTAGATCAAATTTAAATACTGTCTATAGTATACGCGAGTAGTACACATTTAAATAAAACACTTTAGCGGTTTAAAACGCGATATATTAGTTAAACTTATTTGAAAATTTGCAGCCGTGATCACGGGGAGACAGTCTCCCGACCAGACCGTGACCACGGCTGTCTGCTGCAAAGCATCCGAAACGTCGAGCCGAAGTTAAAAATAATTTTCAAATAACTTTAACTAATATATCGTGCTTTAAACCGTTAAACTGTTTTATTTAAATAGATCAAATTTGTCATTAAAAATTGCTTGCATACAAATTATAAAAAATATTGTCATTCAGTCGATGAATACTCACCGAAAAATTAAATTTTCAGTAAGTTTTCTTTGCTTAGTTTTCACGTTCTTGAACAAAGCATTCTTGTGCTTTGATCGAAACATTTTAGTTTTCTATATCGGAGATGAATCTTATTTGAAAAACTCGTTAGTCTCATTAAACATTCTTTATTATTTTTTATTATATTTACCTGATACAAATAGAGAGTCCCTGCTCTACACTAGGGCAAGCCTAAGTCGTGGGTGACTAGTCTCTTTCAAGTTACAAACAATTAATACTTTATAGATAAGTATCGCGTTTCGGTTGCGGTTGGATTTTCGATGGTCCAAAGTCGAAGATGGTCGTCAGCTCATTTTGCTTAGATGTTATATGGCTGGGGAATTTATCTACCATCAAGTGAGCTCTAAGCTTAGCTCTCCCGCTATTGTTAATAAAATTTGAAAATGTATTGTAACATCATTATTTATAAAATATGATTTCCTTATTACAAATAATTACTTTTGTATGTCATATTATGGCTGTTGAAACAATACGTTTTTACGGACAATGAGAAAACACAAATTACTCACAACTAATTATTTGCTATTGTAATTTAGCACCGCTATTCAAATATGTATGTAGTTATGCAAATATTGTAAACTTACAATATTGGAAATCGGATATGTGGTTGTATAATTATTACGAGCAAGCATTTGATATTTATTAAGTAAAATGTATTATTAACTAAAGTTTATTATATTCTGTGATCAATTTTTATTTATGATTTATAAGTCTTCAAATTAAATTAAACAGTAAAGACTTAGAAGTAAGAACGCGGTCTTGTGAGCTTGAAAAATATTTATCTTACAAGGATTTGAAGTATTCCTTTTAAGATAAATACTTTTTTAGGCGCAGCTCTATGTTGCCTTCCTTAGTTTTACCTAACTGTACCAGGTATGCCACAAATAAGTGGATTTCTCGTTTGGTATAGCGTTAGAGACAAACAAACAAGCAGAAACATGAGTTAACAATTTTCATTTGTTATCATAAGCATATTTGTTAGTGTTTTTGTGAAAAATGTGTTTTCTTAATTTGTAGTCCTTAACAGTTATATATTGTATAGCATCTGCAACGATGGTACACGCCGTATTAAGTAATAGTTTACCGTTATAATTCACAATTAAACAGTCAAAAGTGTCACATTTTTAGTTGAAATATGCGACATTAAAAACAATTGCATAAGTTTTTCAGTTCGATCTCGATTCTCTTTAAAAATAAACTGTATATTATAAGAATAATTCAAGATCAGGCACGTTTAGTATACTTAATAGTTACATTAACAACCCAAGAGAAAAACCACCATTTAACTTAATAAAATTTGTATTTTGTAATTAAAACCTCGCTAGTTTTTTGTATAGTGTAGGTAAACTATACAGATTAAAATTTTACCATAATATTTAGAATATACCGACGTTAGCGCGAGCATTTCCCTAACGGAAATTGAATCCCGATTCTGTAGTTATACAACCGTTGGACTAGAACCACAGAGCAATGATAATGGCTAGACGACTTTTAAAAAATGTCAGTTTGCCAGTTTAAAACGTGTTAAGATTATAGTGTTAGATATCTAAATAATACTTAAAATCCCGATGTAGTCACGGGGGGACTGAACATGGTGGGTATAACTAATTCCAAAGTCAAAACTGCTGCGCTAGCGACGACTTATTTGTCGTTTGATATCTTAAGTAGTAAATAATTACTATGCTAATTACATACTCTGTGCATTCACTGCGTATTTTTGACGACTCATAATCACTACTTTTTCTTAAACTTCTTGCGTTAAGTTTAAAGAGAAGGTTTTAAAATTTAAATTTCTTATAGACATTTTGCTAAATCCCAAGAATATATAAGAAGTTAAATACTGTCTATAGTTTACGCGAGTAGTACACATTTAAATAAATCACTTTAACGGTTTAAAACGGGATATATTAGTTAAACTTATTTGTCTCCCCGTGACCACGGCTGCTGCGAAGCATCCGAAACGTCGGGCCAAAGTAAAAATCATTTTTAATAAGTTTATCTAATATATCGCGTTTTAAACCGTTAAAGTGTTTTATTTAAATACATAAGAAGTTACCAATGTCCACTGATATGATACGAAAACCTAACGTACTACAACGCTTATAACACACATTTTAGAAAACTAATATTTTTCACATGTTATGGTATTATATAAATTAATAACAGACAAAACAGAACAACAGCGCGGAACGTTGTAGATGGCGGTTCAAGTCCTACCCGTGTCATAAAACTTTTTCAAAGTAAATTAGATTTTTGATTAACAACCTTTTTGTGTAATAATGGAATGTGGTATTAGACCGCGTTTACTTTAGAAAAAGTGATGTAGCGGTTTTCAATATGCTGTAACGCTGCTTTAATTTTCCAGTGTAAGTCAACTGTACCGTACTGGCCGGATGAGCTATACGTCCATTTTACACCGCAGTACCTCCTATTTGGTCGGTATCAGTTTGGGATTAGCGCTACGGAATACAGCTCAGTATGGCAAGGTAAATTACCTAATAATGGTACTTTATTACAATCTTTCCTTATAGGCCAAGAGTGCCATAACAAGAGATGATATCTCACAATTGAATATGAGATATAAAGATCACTGTAACAATTACTACGAGTATACGTATTGTAGAAAAGTAGTTTTGAAAGGAAAACATCGATGGCACAGGCGGGAATCGACAAGCCCCCCCCCCCCCCCTCTCCCCCTCCCCCTCCTATAATACTTATTGTAATTACATTACATGTTCTTGAAGGAAAAACGAATTCAAAGGTAGGTGGTGCATAAAGAAACCATGATTTTCTTCATTTGGTTAGTAAAATTAATTTTTAAATTTTAAACAGTTCACAATGATTTATTCATAAGGAAATATACACTAAAATTGGTATTGGTGTATATGAAGACTTGCTCGAACCGCGTTGTCGAGTCATCGGAATTATTGGTTCTGCGATGCGACCGAAACAGTTCCTATTTCCGCAAACGTATGCACTATGAACAATGACGACGAGATTTACATGACAATGCCGAGTGCATTCGAGATGACATCTGAGCAAATACTGCGTTGTCGATTGTGTGTTCTGATTCACGAATAGGACCTGAGGACGAGGTAAAGGGATGTACGCTCGATTCGAATCTATCGCGTGTAGGAATGTGCATTATTCATACAAAATAAAGTTTTGATTTTTGATTTTTATTGTTTCTTGTTTGTGTTGCACATCTCATTTTCTCTTTTTCCCTTAAGTTTAGGTTGCCTGGAAGAGATCGCTTGTTAACGATAAGGCCGCCCATTGCACAAAATTTTAGCATATAAGTTTTATCTATATCATAATTATTTTTTGTACAATAAATAATTAAATAAAGTACCTAAATATTGATTATTAATGTTTCTTAAATAATCTTCTGTGAGGTAAAAATCGATTTTAAATTGAAAAAAAAATAACGACACGGACAGGACTTGAACCAGCATTCACAGAGTTCTGTGCTGTTGCTCTAACTAATTAAGTTACCATGTTAATCCCTTGCTAGTCTTCATTTGTTGTAATGACTTTACTGTACTCAATTCTGCAAAGACCCGGCCAGTTTCGCCAAATACCAACTTCGACGAAACAGATGGCGCTAGCGTAGCAGTTTTTTACTTTGACGTCAGAGACATCTTGCATCTTTAGTCTCCCTATGACCACGGTTGCTGCAAAGCATCCGGAACGTCGGGCCGTAGTTAAAAATAATTTTCAAATAAGTGTAACTAATATAAATCGCGTTTTAAACCGTTAAAGTGTTTAAATGTGTACTACTCGTAAAGGTATCGCTTCTGGATTTACCAAGACAGTTTACCCTTTTCCAGCTCTTAATATTCACGGGATGGGTCCTGAGTGCTGGTCTTTGGGGATCTGTCCTATGGGCAGGTTACGACAGTGGCTTTCTCAACTATCAGTATAACGTGACCTTTGCTGCTCTGTATGCGGCGGGTGCCCCTGTTGCGACCGCTTTAGCCTTCGCCTGGCTGCTCTACGCTGCCCATAATGGATATAGCGGTGAGGAATATTAAATTATTGATGGTACGATCTCACTAATAAGTGGAGTGCGCAAAGTTGCAGCCGAACACAGACGTTTAATATGATTAAATTAATCTTTTGAATAAAACACTATAACGGTTCAAAACGCGATGTATTAGTAACTGATATATATCGCGTTTTAAACCGTTAAATATTTTTACTTAAATGTGTAATACTCGCGTAAACTATAGACAGTATTTAAGTTAATCTTCTCTTAAAAAAATACCGCCATCATTCATTTTATATCCAATCTACTATCAAAACATTTTTTGCCACTTGCGGTAAAACTATTAAACTTATAATATGTATTCCAACCTCAAAACAAACTATAATTACAAGTGGTTAGAAATGCTAACTACTAAATATTATGATGTGTGTAAGAAGCGTGTAAAAAAATATTTTCAAACTTTTTTTAATGTATTGATTGAATTTTTGTTTGCAGATACTCTTTCGAGCCTACTCTGCAGTCGACCTTTGCTCATTATCAGTAGGCTTTCTTATGCCATCTACCTGACACAGTTTATTGTCTTTCTGACAAACGCAGCCACCGTTAAGACATCCACCGAATTTACGCTTTTATCTGTGGTAAGTATTGAGAGAAACACAAATCCCCAGTAAATTTTATTTTTACAATTTCTTGCAAATTATCACTTTTTCATATCATTTATCAGTGGACAGGATTTAGCAAAAAGTTTAACCTTCTTACGAAACACTTTTAGATATTCTGTATAATCTTACCGTACAATAAATGACTTTGCTTGAAATCACAAAAAAAATCTTTAATTTTTTCAGATCGACTTCCAAGAAATATCTGCGATATTTCTGTCCGGCGTTCTTTTAACTTTGACTTTAGTTTTTCCTATGCAGGCGTTGCCAAATATATTATTTAAGGAAAGGAAAGAAGAACATCCAGTAGAAGAATTAGAAAATAAAATAGAAAACGAAGAAACAGAACCTCAAGTTGAAACAAAACCAACGTTACGAAAGCCACTTTTAGCTCACAGAGAGTTATTAGAGGAAATACCTGAAACGGAGATTGAATATGAAGCACAAAGAGATAATCAAAGTCTAGAAGAAATTTTGGAAGAGGATGACGATAATTTAGAAGATGACAGAATAGACGACGATGAATTGGAAGTTATAGAAGAGGAAGAAGAGGAAGAGAAAACATGCGAAGAAGATTTTTGGGCTCAACAGGATATGAACCCAGAAAAACCGGATCACGATCTGGATGAATGGGAATGGACAAATGGAAACCGGGGAGGCGCTCAATATTATCGATACAGTAGATAACGAAATAAATAAATTTAATGATTTATGCGTTGTTTGATATTTTCCTGTTTCGGATAGGAACTAATTAGTTATTCTCACTTCTCACACTTTGTTTTATAAATCAATGTCCACTTAATTGATTTGATACTGCTTACAGTGTATTGGTTATATAATGAATTATAAATAACAACAGCATTGCCCCAGTTGTTTAAATAATATATTAATTTTCATCACGTGATATCATGAGAGGAAGTCAAGAAAATGACACGTTGAGTTACGAACCAAAAGAATACATAATGTTCTTATAATTAAATTAATACACGAGCTCAAATAAGGAATTCTATGTTCTTCTTTACTTTAACTATCCATGACTAACTTTTTAGTTTTTGTAGCTGGTACTGATCGAACGATTTAAACTATAAATTAAACAGGTTTTGACAGGAATACCTGAACTAAAAAAAACTTTATTTAATGGCTCTTGTTCTTGAAATTAAATTTTTTTTCGATTATAGTAAACAAACATTATAAAATGGTTTTATCGTTATAAGAATAATTTTATATTGAGTATTGTCTGTAGTTTACACTATTATTATCAAAATTGACAAATGACTCGAGATCTAAATTATTAATAAATATTAATATAAATACTGTCTATAGAATACGCGAGTAGTACACATTTAAACAAAAGATTTTAACGGTTTAAAACGCGACATATTAAATTAGTAATAAATATTGATATTTAAATGAAACCGTTTTATCAGTTTTGAAGCAAAACATATTAGTTACCCTAATCTATTTATTTTTCCTACGCCCCGATGACTCAGACGCCTTGCAATAGTCGTGGTCAGGAGAATACTTTTATAGCCTTTGAGGGTTATCTATTATCAAAATTTATTAAATTTGTATAAATAAATAATCGTGTTTTTTTTTGTTTTCGACTATATTTCCTATATCTTAAGATTTTAAGACAATTTCGGACACCTTAAGGAATGCGATACGTTCAATTGTGAATGCTTTAAACGACTTAAAAAAAGTAGGTTCTTGATTCGATTCGTATACGTATACTTTTATTTTTTTGTTTGGTCGAGCAAAACTTCGTCTTTTATGAACAAAAATTGATGGTTCTTTTTTTGTTGGTAAGTAGAAATTTTCCATTCATTACTAAGTTTTAAACAACCTAATTGCAATATTGATTATAAGCTACTAGTAAATAATAACAAATTATGGTGATTACGACATCAGTATTTGAGAGATTGATTGTTTATCTCCATAATTTTACATGGCACTTTAAAATTATATAATAAATTTTTTTATTCTGTACCAAATAGATATTTATTTGTGAGAAGTAAAGTTTTTTTTAAAAGGTTATTGTTTAAAATTGTTTTTTTGTTCATAATTATTTTAGTACTCTGTTAACGAACAATTCGTTAAAATATTTCGTATTCAAACATTATCCTTGGGCAGTTGTCCATAGATATTAACATCGAAAACTTGTTTTTTGGAATCCATTATTTAAATTATTCATTTTTTATTTTATATAAAAAAATCAATATCACCTGAGGCTAATGTTATGAATTATATGTCTTTAAAAGTGATTTAGTAAATAGTAATTAATTTACACGAACACTGGCTGTCATCAAATATCAAAAAAAACGTATCAAAACCAAAGATGTCATTTTTGTCGACATGATGGTCAAATTTTTTTTCAATATAAATATGTTTTAACGTTTTATAAAAAACAACAATTTTTAATAATTAGATAATTTGACGCATTGTTTTGCCGTAATTTTAACACTTTTAACCTTTGACTGTAGATTTTCATATAACTAGCCAGAATTTTGGTTTTCGAAGTAAAGCAGACTTCGACAACAGACTTACCTATAAGACATCGAAGTCTAAGTTAACGAGCATAACAGTGACGTATCGGCGTCTGGACTATAATGCACGGACGTGCTATCAGTAGAACTAAACAATGAAACATCAATCGATTCAGTTCGCATCGAGCTGCGCACGCGCACAGCAGCATCATGCTCAAGATCGTTTTGCTCGTTATAACGGCGTGCGCGGTGACCGCCGATACAAATATCGAAGTTCTAAAGCGACTAGCAAGTATATTGGAAGACACGAAAAGTTTGGACGCGAAGGACTTAGCAAAGTTATATAGGGCTGCGCAAGAGTTGGGTTTATCTTCGGATGCGTCTCAGGATAATGTTACAGAGCGGATTATACACAAGGATCAGGGATATAATGTGTATGCGGATGAGCGTGGGACGATCGCCGAGTCCCCGGATTATGCGTCGTCTGTTGTACTGGCGAGTGATCTGCTGGCTTTGACGAATGCTGTGGGCAATGTTGAGGATAAGCTGTGCAGGGAACAGGGATATCGCTTCCTGGATGGGTTGCTGTCGAACAAGCGCTGGGCTTTGAAGAGTGAGTAGCGGCATTTTTTTTTAAATCCTTCATGTCTACCTAAAGCTTTAAACAAAATTTTGTAACAACGTAGGGTAAATAAGATAACGAATAAATTTCACGTTTTAATCAGTTGGAAGTGTTCTATTTAAAACAGTTAATAATTATTTGTACGAAATGAATATATTTTATTTGAATGCTCATGTACCCCTTGTAAAAAAGGATTGTATTAGATTATTCGTTTTTAAATTGTCAAGATCGAACTTAATTCAAGGAAGCAAATTATTCAAATGTAATACTTAGATAATAAAATGTTTAACCTAACGGAAGTAGTCATAGTAAAAACCTCACGGATTACACGAAAGCCCGCAAGGTTTGAAAGACCTCGCGTTTAAGGAAAATTGTGAAAATTAATAAAATTTTCACTTTGCAACAAGCGGTGTTATATTGCAAAAGAATTAAAATGTCTTTTAAATAAAACACTTTAACGGTTTAAATCGCGATATATTGGTTAAACTTTTTTGTTTGAGAATTATTTTAACTGTCTCCTCGTGACCACGGCTGTTGCGAAGCATCCGAAACGTCGGGCCGAAGATAAAAATCATTTTCAAATAAGTTTCACTAATATATCGCGTTTTAAACCGTTAAAGTGTTTTATTTAAATGTGTACTACTCGCGTAAACTATAGACAGTATTTATATTTTACTTAACTTATTTTTAATTTAGTAACTTTAACTACAGGCCAACAATAAACTAGAAACATCGTGAGTCAGTTCTAAACGGACTCAGCCAGATTCAAATACTAATTACGACGAAAGAGATGGCGCTAGCGCAGCAAATTTGACTTTGACATTAGGAACACACGCTACAATTAGTTGCCCCATGACCACGGCTGCTGCAAAGCAAACCAATGGATAAGCTGTAGTTAAAATAAATAACCAATAAGGTAACTAATATAATCCGCGTTTTAAACCGTTAAAGTGATTTATTTAAGTATTCTCTGTTATTCAATATTATTTTTCGAAACTGGTTTAGTTGTTTAGGCAAATTTAAACCAGTTATATTAGTGGAATATAAAAGGTAATAGCGTAAGGTCAATTTAAACCGTTTTTACTAACTACGTATAAGTGTTGCAGAATCGTACGTGACATAAACATAAACTAAGTCGGAAGCCTTCGTCAGTCTGTTCGTTTAGAATAAAATAACAAACAAGGCATTATAATATAAGTGATTCAGTGCGCAGCGATTTTTTTTATGATACAGGACGACAGAAAAGTACGGTTTATCTGATGGAAGGTGAAATATAACATCTAAATAAGGTGCCCTGTCGACCTATTTAAGCTTTGGACATTCGGGAATTGACAGATCAAAACGTGATGAAATTTCGTGGCTTTTTCATCTGTGGACAGTGGTTTGTGACCCGGGCGGAATGGCATTATTCCAACCCACCCATTTAATATCCAGTTTTCCAGACGAAGTCCAACAAGTTTCAGAAAAAATAAAAAAATATTACACTCGCTGGAGATCGAACCCACGCCCCGTCGATTATTAGCCATACATTGCTACCAATTACAAACTAGCTACGTGCATTAAAAATGGAAATTCGTAATTAACATGTAAACAATCTTTTCCTTTAAAAATAACTTTTACATTTGCTAATCTTCCCTTTTTAATTTTAAATTCTTATAAAAAACTACAAAAAGATTCAAGTTTTTGTGGTAAACTTATTAATTTCATCACATTTTCACTTCATTTATCAAAGCCAAATTAGAATTGAGTTGAAATGATTACTGTCGATTTGGGTTCAGTATTTTTCGTATAGTTTTATATTTTTTCCGTTGTTTGGAGCTTTAGGCATTACCGTTGGTTCCATCTTAATAACGAACCAACGTCCATTAAATATTTTATTAGTTAAAAATATGGTTCTTCAACTAATAATTGATAGTCATTGAAGTTTAGTGAAGTTCAATATCCTACAAACTTTAAACTTTATATCTCTGACAAATAATTTGCCATTACCAGTGATCGAATAGCTAAGATACCCTAGAGGTCATTGAACCGGGCAATAACTGGTTTAAATCTAGACCAAACTAAGTTTAGGTAGTGTCTAATTACATAAGTACCTTGACTGTACTTGACAGCGTTATGCAGTTATATGCTTTTGGTGTCTGTTTATAGTTAATTTATATAGGTTTCTCCACGGAAGAAGTTATTATATATTTTTAATTAAAAAACGGTTTAAAACGCGAAATATATTAGTTTAAGCTACTGAAATGTTAGTAGTAAACTTAATTTAAAATACGTCAGCGCGTTTCGCGTTTTAAACCGTTAGAAGTGTTTTATTTCGATTATGATTTTTTTACTACTCGCGTAAACTATAGACAGTATTTAGACTTTACTTTGATGAGTTTGTTTGTCCAATGCACTAGCACTGTCAAATATCTCGGTCCTGGAATCAATTTCCCTCGAGGCCAGCGTGTGTTTGTTCTGATATTAATATACAGTTAATAAATATAATACTTGAATTAAATGTGTTGTATATGAGCAGTTCTTATGTTTAGGTATATCTTATTAGCCAAAAATGACTTATGCTCGAGATGAGTAAAAATAATCTTACACACTCTTGTCCAGAAACATTAATTGCGTTTTAAAATCTCAAATCTTTCATTAATCTGTGTATTCTTTGGAAAATCCAAAGCTTCAATTATAATCGTATGACGCATCGTTTAACATATTTTTTAGCATATAAACACATTTTTTATACAAAAATCAAGTTAATCGTCATCTACGTACTAATTATTGAAACATAAAAATGCCTTTAGTGTAATCATAAAATTTTTGATATAAAAATATTAATAGATTCGCTATAACTTATTAGTTCATATGTCTACTAGCTGACCCGATGTAATACTTACTGTGTAACAGACAAATCGATTATTGTTTTTTTTTGTGTTTTTGATAACAAACTTAATTTAAATAAAAAACAATCTCATTTTGACAACTTTAGGCATCAATATCAAAAGTATACTGACGTCAGACCATACTTTTGCTTGCCCGGATATGAATATTAGCTATTGTTTGTATTTTAGTATAGAAGTGGTACACTTAATAAGTGTTTTTTAATTTCCTCTCCGTCAACTGTAATGGTACTCAAGGAATACTCACAAAGTAGAAAGCGACATCAGTTGAATTTATTCTCAGGTATAATTACATTTTGTTTTTAAATTTTATATATATTTTTTGAACATATTATTTTTAATTTAGTGAATTCAGATTTTCATATCAAATCTTAGTAAAGTTTGACATGAATATTAAACTTAAGGGGACATTTTTGGCTTACATTTTATTTATTTACTAGATTTCATTTTTAGTCACTTAAAAATGTTGTGTTATTCTACTGTATATATCGTTGAGTTAGTAGTAGTTCTGAAAATGACAGACAAATCTTAATCCATATACATAGTATGAAAGATAAATTTATAAATAACTGGCTTTGCGCGTGACTGAGTTCGCGTGGAATACTGACTTGGGGTAGAATTTTTAATGATTTAGGCTTTTTATTAATTTATGTAATTGTGCATTTATCGTAGTCAATCTATGTTGTAAGTGCTACTTTGCCGCAACACTCCCACCCTCACTCTCACTCCCACTCCCATTCTCACTCCTATTCCCAAAAAGTCAAAGAAGAAAGTTTTATTGTTCTAGCTTCAAAAACCACGAATTTCCATACGAAATTTCACCACCTCTTTTAACCCCTTGCAACCCCTTTTTCGCAATAAAAAGTAGCTTATGTCCTTTCTCAGGGTCTAGACCATCTGTGAACCAAATTTAATTCAAATCCGTTCAGTAGTTTTGGCGTGAAAGAGTAACAGATAGACAGACAGATAGAGTTACTTTCGCCTTTATAATATTAGTGAGGATTGAGTTATCTCAATCCTTACTAATATTATAAGTTTAGTTTAGTGGTACTACTAATATTATTATTAGTAGTACAACTAATCGCAGTTAGTAATAAAAACAATTCAAACCAATTCTATTGACCTTAGTCATGTAAAAACTGTGTTTACCAACCACTATAAACAAAGTATGATTAGAATGAATTATTGGTTTACGTTCGGATCAAACCGTCATGCATTTAAAACAGTGTCTGAGAATGTTAATAATTGACTTAAGTACGCGAAGGAACGCACTGGAATTTATAATAATTGCGTAAAGTTATCGTTTCAGAAATTTTCTTTGAGATGCGTATAAGAAAATATAGACTAAACTTTGTTTGGTATAGGATGATCAGTTTGACAGTCCTTGCGTTCGAAGTTTGAGTTTGCGAGTGCACTTCGAGAAATCGTACTTTAGTTTTGTGAAGTGATTTGCCAACAAACAATAGACAATAGAAATTCTATTATCTAAACAAATGTATTATAAAATAAGATTAAGTACTAAAATTAATAAAATATTAGGGTTTAAATCATTTAATAACAAAAATAATTAAAACCAAACATCATTAAGTCGGGTGTTTTGTATTTTAACGTAGTTAGGACTGTAACTCTACGGTCAAACGTATCATTCTAAATTAAACAAGTTATTCGTTAAATTTTGTCATGATTTATTTTTACATTATGTGTCATTCAAAAGTTTCAGCTATGTTGACACCAAATTTATATTATAAGCTGTTTCAATTTTTATTAAATTATATTTAAGTATTGCCTGTTTGACCGCTTCTCTAGCTAAATGGTTAAACATGTTGCCTCGCATTGCATTAAGCGCGAGGGGCCCTGGGTTCGCATTCTGGAGAAACATTAAATTGTTTAGGTAGGTTAAGCACGGAAGTCTGTAAAAGGACCAGTCAGTGTCAGTGAAACGGGTTGACAGGGGGTATTTACCCAAATGGCTGAAATTTGAGCTAGTAGTGCCCTTTTAAATATAACATTTATAACGGTTTGAAACGTGATGAATCTTAGTTAACGTGTTAATTTAACCGCGTCTCAATGCGTTTATTCCTTTCGTCAGCCAATCACTAGGAT